GTGTGTGTGTGTGTGTGTGTGTGTGTATGAATAAAATAGCAACAGAGGGCTATTTCCTTCCTACAGCGAAGAATCTCTCTATAAGAAGGGAAAAACAGCACGATTCTTTCTAGAACAGTGAAAACGTTAAGCCTGGAAAAAAGAGAACAGGAGGGCAGTGAGTCTCACCAATATCCTGTTGCTATGGCCCTGAAGAAAGGGGGAGACGGCACCTCGAGGATGGGACAATGACATCTGGTCTGCTTATGTGCAAGACAAAATGTCATGGGGACTGGGGAAGGGAAGGTCAGGACACATGAGCAGGGGAATAGCATTGACCAGACAGAGAATATGTGAACCAAAATGAAGAAAATGGTGAAAATCTCACTCAAGACAAAAAAGACCTGCTAATTAAAGAGAGGGAGGGAGGAGACAGAGTGGGAGAGGGAGACGGAGAGAGGGAGGGAGAGGAGGAGAAGGAGGGAGAGGGAGGTTCTTGGATAGGAACACTTACTACTATGAAGAAGCAATTTCAACTAAAATGAACCAGAGGGAAACAGCTATTCTACAGCTCATCTAGAATGTGCAATAACGGGACATGGGCCTGGAGAGATAGTACAGGAATTAAGATGCTGGTTTTGCATGCAGCGGACCCTGGTTTAATTCATGGCACCACATATGGTTCCCTGAGCACCACCAGAAATGATTGCTGAACACAGAGACAAGAGCACTGTTGGGTGTGGTTCCAAACGGACCCCCTTTATACTCCCTCCCCCACTTCCCCATCCTCCCTTCTGAAAAGAAAAGGACATTTTGGGAAACCAGAGTGGTCTGGCATGCTATCTACCATGTGAAAGACTGCAAAAGGGTCAAACCACCAAATGCTATGGGGCTGGGCGTGGGGAGCACATCCCATCTCCGCTGACCTTACACAGCTGAGCAGCTCAGATCTATGCAGTACCAGCCAAAGGTTTGGCATGCTGGACAAAGCTGAGATGAAAAGGAGCCTGTCCCTGCCTCTGGACATGCTGCCTTGGAAAGGCCAGAGAGAAGCACCAGGCGAAGGCAGCTGTGGGTGTGGGCGCAGGGGTGAGGAGGCCAGGCCTGGGCCGCAGTGGGCAGGGAGGTGGCACATTTCCATGGATTCTGTCCTGGGCAAAACAATGGAGGGTCACAGCGACCCTGCGGTGCCCTGGCCTTGGAGCATTCACTGTCTTCCCAAACCTCCCGGGCCTGTTGCCAGCTGGCTGTGCCAAATCCTTGCGTTCTCCTATGAATGTTTCATCACCTTCTCAAGTAGAAAGTGACTGGTGTTGCTCTTCCTGTGGTCTATTTTTTTGGGGGGAGGGGACAGCCCCTTGGTGTTTGGGGGCTACTCCTGGCTCTGTGCTCAGAAGACTTTGCAGTGTTGGGGATCAAACGTGGATTGTGCACATGCCAAGTAGACAAGGATCCTTTGAGTCCCCCTTTGCCCTGGCCCCTTCCTGTCATCCCTGACTTCCTGTGGTCTTCCTGGTTCCTGCTTGCTTCTCTTCTTTCAAGATACTTATTTTGTAAAAAATTTTTTTAAATTTTATTTTCAAGGAGTTGTTCACAACAATTGATTATATTCAATATTTCAACACTAACCCCACTACCATTACACCTTCCCACTATCATTATTTTGAGTTTTCCTACCACCACCCAAGCCTGCCCAAAAGGGATATGCTAAGTAATTTATTTTATATTGCTTGTTATGAATAATTGACTAAAAATGATCAAAAAGGTTTCCTTAAAGTGTGTGAAAATTGTTATATATCATCTTGGAGCCATTTAGCTCTTGTATTAGAGGTCATTAACATGTTGTTGGAGTTTGAGTCTTGCGTGCTAATATATATATTTATGTACATATATATGTACATATATAATTTTAAAAATTAAGATTGGTCTTCAACCTTACACTTCATTAAATGTGGTGTGCTACTCTTGGTGTTAGTTCAAACACCAAAAAGCCTCTGAAATTCACATTTGCTTTCCTTTAAATTGGCAAAACTACCCTGTGACCCAGTGAGAACATTTGGATCTGCACCATCAAGGACCTGACCTCCTTGGGAAATTCCATCCATCATTTCCAAGGGTGTAACTGTACCCCAATGATGGTGCAGCCACCCAAGAGCCACCCTGGAGGAAAGGGGAGATTTGGGCGATCGTGGCTGCGTTTTCAAGGTTGCGTGTGTCGTAGAGGAATGACTTGCTATCGGCCTGAGCCATGGGGAGGTCTCTGGTATCTGGAGTGGAGGAATCATTTATGTTTGAAGTTCTTGTGCCTTCCTGGGAAGGAGGTATGGGAGGTCTGCATGAAGTTTTAAGACATTTCGGGAGTTTGGCCTCCCCCTGAGAGGCCTGGCTGGGGAAGCTGGAATAATTAGTCTGGGGGCAGAGCCCCAGATGGACAATGCTAGCCTGTAGGGGGCTAGGAGGCCCTGCCCCCAGGGAGTGGGGCATCTCTGGGGTGAGGGTTGGTTTAATCAGGGTGAAAGAGTCTCCAAGTTTGATGATGCTCTCATCTGTACCATTTCCTGGAGGCTCTCTGTGGGTGATCAGCACTGACCATCTGTGTCCAAACCCAAACCTCTGCTGTGTGTGTCCCAGCGTAGACCCCACAAGTCATCTGTGCCCCAGCCTCTCACCCATGCCTCCTCTCATTAGGCAACCTGGGAGCAGACAGGAGCACCGTTCCCAGAGTGTTTCCTTGCCCGAGACTAGAACCGAGCTCACGTGTGTCTGGCTTGGTCACGCTTGTGGCCCCTGTCAGAGGCATTGCTGCCTCAGGTGTGTGCTATGTCCTGGCTGGGGCAGCCCCCACCTGGCCCCTGCTCCAGGCTGGGCAGCCCAGGTGTGAAGGCCCCCAACATATCTGCCATCTGGGACCAGCTCCTGTGTGTGTGTCTGAGGTTGTAAGTCCTGGTCAGACATGAGCTGGGGGGCATGCATGGGTCCCTGACCCATGACCCCTCCTCCGCTTTCTCCCCAGCCTCTCTGTCCATGGTGGCCCCTCTGGGTGCCATGGCACAGTCACCCCTCCCCATGGGAAGAGGGAATCGGGACAGACTCGGGGGTCTGCACAGTGACCCACGGGGCCCCACCTGGAATGGGGTGACACCAGGTCACATGTGCAGCCCACCTGCTTCGGGGTAGAGGGGTCAGTGCTGACTCAACACCCACCCACTGCTTTACACCCCAAATCTCCAGATTCTCTGTCAGAGGCTGGCCATGTGCTGGCCTGGGGCCCACATCTGCTTTTCCTGCCAGAATTTGGGTGCTCCCCACCCCGGCCTGTGACACGCTGTGTGGTCCCCATCTTCCTTGTTTCTTGCTTCTTCATTGAACAATGCCACTCCCTCACTCACTGCCATCACTTCTTTCCCTAGATCCCCAACACTGACCTGAACTTCTAGAAAACCTCTGGTCCACTTCCTGGGTTGGCCGACCAGGGCCTTGGGCAGCAAAGAGGGAACTTTAGTCTGAAGTTCCCTAGAGGGAGCAGGTTAGTGGGCACAGACGCAGGGGTGGGAGGGGTCTGGGGGCCAGTGAGGAATGGCATGAGGTGGGGTCTGGCACAGAGTCTGGTGTCCCCACATGCCTATGGCAGTTGACCCTTAAGCCTTTGGGCAATGAAGAGCCCCTGGCTGGCCTCTGGGATCCCAGCAGGAAGGAGTGGCAGCTTAGGGTCCTGCAGGCCCAGGCAACCCCTTTGGAGCAGACATCGCTGTGCTGGTGGTGGTTGGCATTGAGTGGCAATCATGTTTGGTCTATAGTCTACTTTCAGCATGCTTCTCCCATCATGGGAGGATCCTCCCAACACCCTTTATTTGGTGCTCCCTTCTCTGTCTGAGCTGCCTTTTCCCCTAGCCTGTGCGGCTGGTCTCCAAGCCATGGAGTGAACCTCCTGGTACTGATCTCGCACATGCCAGTTTTAAAGGTGACACAGTGTTCTCCCTGCAGAGTTCTTTCCCATCTGTGACCGCACCCAGACCAGCCTCTGAATCCCAGCTGAGTTGGCTCACCCAGGAAGTTCAGAAACCCTGGGCTTTTTTCTTGGTGAAATTCAGGGGTGTTGACATGGGCCTGGAACCAACTCAACACATGAACACATGAAACTGCAAAGGGCAAGTAGGTCCCCGCACAAGAGGGACAGTAATAAAATGTGGTTTAGGCAAGCACAGTTGGAAAATCCCTACCACCTGCCATGGATGGACACAGAGGCCAGGCCAGCTCACCCAGGCCTTGTTAAACAGCTCCTGACCCTGAATCCCAGACATAAGCAGAAAGAACTCTCGCCAGAAAACTACTCCTGATGCTTGGCTGACTTTAGAAGTACAAACCCTGAAGCGGGTGACTGGAACGGGTTGGGGGTCCCGCTGCTGCCGCCACCCTGTGCACTGGGCCCCCTGCCTTACCTGAATTCCACCCTCCACACCATGGTGGAAGCTTCCCACTGCCCTGGGGTAGTGGGGGAGGGGATGTCCCAGGCTGTCAGTGTGAGGGCAGGAGCCCACGGTGAGGATACCTACCAGGGTGTCACCCAGTAGGTCCTTACCCAGAAACTTGTCCCACACAGGAGGGTCACAGTACACTGACTGGAAAGACCCCTGGGCCTGAGTAGCAGAGGTGCCGCATACTCTGGAGGCCGGGACAGTTGGTGTAACTAGAAGGGGCTTGTTCCCTCCAGGCCCCATCTGGGGCAGGGTGCAGGGTGCTGAGAATCTCAGAAAAACCTCCCAAGCCACTTGTGCTCCTCTGAGCTGGGCCTCGTGGGGAGGGAGACGCCAAGGAACCCAGCCGCCAGCCCGGGAGGAGCCGGCATCCCACTACTATCACGGGGTCCACTGCCTCCCATCCTGTGGCACTGGGTGGGGGAGGACAGGCTGTCTCCTTACCCCCGACACCCCCATTAATTCCTGAGAGCCCAGATGTTTAAGAAGACAGATACTAGTGTTTGGGACCGCTGGGAGGGGACATGCATGGAGCCATTTACTAACCATTCACCTGCAGGACGTGGGTCTGGAACAGCTCCTCGTGGCCGGCAGCATGGCAGGTGTAGTTGCCCATGTGGACCGTGGTCACCTTGGTGATGTAGAGGGAGGCATCCTCTCCGAAGTCCTGCATGGCGAGGAGACAGCGATGTGGGCACTCTGCCAGCCCACTGCCTGCTGGACTTTGCAGTGAGGGCAGGGCAGCAGTGTCCCCTCTGCTTCCACGGGGCTCCCTGGGCTCGGCCTCACAGCGTGGCCTCCACATTCTCTCTATTCTGGCCAGCACGCTCTCCCTCACTGACAGAGTTGGGTTCACCTGGCTCCCTCAGCCTTCTGCATCCCCAGAGCCCACCTGCTCTCGGAGCTTAGTTAGAGTCGGTGGCAATGAGCGTTGCCTTAAAGGGCCAGAGAGCAAATCTTTTCTAGGTGTTAGGTCAAATCTGGCTCCTGAATTGGAGTCTGTGGAGCAGAATTATGATGCTACCTGGATCCCCACGTAGTCTGTAATGTGTGGAGGTGCGCAGAGGCCAAGGGAAGAGGAGGAGAGAGAGGAGAACAGGGCAGGCAAGAACAAGCAGAGAGACCAGAATTTGACCCAGGCAGCCTGGGCTAGGGCTCCCATGAGAGAGGAGGGGGCCTGCCTGCCTGGGGAGCTTGCAGGCCCCGTTGGCTATGGGGGTATGGTGTCAGGCATAGTGGGATGCAGGGGGGCATGGGGTGCTCAGGGGCCCTGCAGAGCATGTGGGCCCTACATGTTCCCTGGGACTTACTGGTCTGTATGTCCAGCAGGAGTGGCCAGGCACCCCCTCCCCCAGACACTCACGCCAGAAGGTGGGGATGGAATCAGCTGATGACATGGGGCCCCATCAACAGGGGTGCAGTGTGAGAGGTGGGGGAGGGCCTGAAATCCCTCCCAGCCTTATGGGGCAGCCCAGAGCCAGGATGCTGAGACTTGGGGCTCTGCTGGACCCTGTCACTGAGCGAACACCTCTGACCCTGGTTCCTCATCCTCTACCCTTTGGGTACCTGGCACCTGTTCTGATGGGGGGTGGGGGGATGGCATATGTGAGTGTGTGTATGTGTGTGTGTTGCTACTGGCATTGCTTTTATTTTTTAATTTAATGTTTTTAGAGTTGGGGGCCACAGCTAGTCATATTCGGGGACTATTCTTGGCATGTTGCTTGGGAATCACTCTTGGTAGTGCTGGGAACGGAACCCAGCCTGCCAGCATGCAAAGCCTGTGCTGGGCCTTTGACCTGTCTCTCTGGCCTTGATATTGCTATTTATTTTTTTCTTTTGGGTCATACCTGATGGTATTCAGGGCTTACTGCTGACTCTGTGCTCAAGGTCACTCATGGTGGTGCTCAAGGGATCAAACCAAATGCCAGGGATTGAACCAGGATAAATGACTTGCAAGGCAAGTGCCTTAATGTCTTTTTTTTTTGGTGGGGGGGGGGAGGTCACACCCAGCAATGCTCTTACTCCTGGTTCTGTCCTCAGGAATTACTCCTGACGGTGCTTGGTGGATGGACCATAAGGGATGCCGAGGACCGAACCCAAGTCAGCCACTTGCAAGGCAAACACCTTCCCTGCCGTGCTATTGCTCCGGCCCAAGTGCCTTAATATCTGTCCTATCTTTCTGGTTCTGATCTTGCTATTATTGACAGAACATGCGCCTCTGGTCTCCCTGGAGCTCCCCTCAATTCCTCCTGCCCCATATTCTTTCTAAGCTTCCCTTTCACACATAAGCATTCAGGTGGGAGGTGCCACTAGCCAGTGTCCAAGGGTGTCCTGGGGGCAGCTCGAACCCTTGTTCCTGTCCATCCTCCCTGCCTCAGCCTTGCTCACCACCTCTCTCCTATAAAGGTGCTTCTCTGTGTCCTGGGGCTCAGGTAGGGGCAGAGGCAGGAGGGGGCAGGCTCCAGGGCACATGCCCTCTCCAGCATGCTCTGGGCAGACTCCAACACTGAGGCGGGATGCTGAGACCCTTCTCTGGTCCCAGGAAAAGCCCAGTTGCATTTATGCTGGCAGCCTCCATAGGGAAAACCCAGTTCCAGCTCGCGATTGCTTCAGCATCCGAATCACAGAGGACTCAGAGGTCAACCTTTAGGGAAAGTCAACTGTCAGTTCCCAGGTGAAGGGTCTCTGGGCTAAGTTATTTCTCATGTCCACACCTAAGTCTGAACAAAAGCTTTCCACCCGGAGCCTGGGGTGGAAGGGGAAGAGGGCAGGGAGGTGGGGTGCAGGCCCCACCTTGGGACTCCTTTACCCACTTCCCATGCAGGGCTCTCTGGATGACTCTACCCAGAAGTGCAAACGAGTGATGTCCACCGGAACCCTGCCCATGGCCTTCCATATCACCTTCCGGAGCCTATACCCCACCACCCTTCTTCATGGGAGGCTCTAGGGTGGCCTCGGTAGCGTGTAGCCTGAGGCACGGCCTGTAGTGTGTGTGGGCTGAGACACCCCCAGTAGCCCACTCTGGACATCCTTAGGGGAAAGAAACCCTCCTAGCAAAGGCACCAGCTTCTCTTCGGGGGCCACTTCTGCACACTCCCCACTCACTCAGCCCCGCGCTGGCTCCTTCCACCCAGCATCAGCAACACCCCATGATGGTCTCCCAGTCTGGCCTGCTCCCTGCTGTCTGAGCCTCGCCCCCCAGCCCTCTGCTGGACTTCTCTGAGGACCAGGTAGTCTGGGAGCTCCCGGGAGGCCTGACTCTGCCATGGATGCAACTCTAAGTCAGGGGCAGCGAGGTGCAGCTCATGGTGGTCCCAGGGTTGCCGCAGAGCTCTGAGCAATTCTCTGGGTGTGATGACTGACCAGCTGCGCTTCTATTCACCCATCTCACAAGGCTGATCCCAGAGATGTCTCCACTTGCATTAACATGCATGACCGTTGTCCCCGTGTGGCCATCTCACAGGGTTAAAATGTGGCAGCTGCGGGAAGGGCAGAGACTGGTGTCCTGTCTCAGTCTGTGTGCTCACCCTCCCCTCAGGCCTAGGCATGTGGAGATGGACAGGCGTGAGGCCACGCTGGGCACCAGGCAGTGAAGGAAAACTGCAGCTGTTTGTCTACGCTGCACACAGCCACCGGGGCCCGCCATCTGCCTTCCCCATGCTCTGAGGACCTGAGCGGGGCTTTTAAGTTGAGCAACTCACTCAATCCCAACCTGTGACTGACGCTCTGGGGAGAAACTGACTCTGTAATAAATAAAATAATGTCTCTGGGCTAAAACAAAAGGCATTGTATAATTATAGAACAAAGTGCATATTGTTTTCTAGAACATGAATACTGGCTACAGAAATCAAATTTACCTCATTGGATGTGAGGAAATTACTTTAAAAATTGATTTATAAGAAGCTGCAGAAAACTAAACCTGCAATCTTTTCTCTCCCGAATGTTCTCAGCGATGTGTCTGAATACGGCTATCAATGCTTGATTGCATCTCTGTAATTGTCTTTTTATGGATGGCTTTCTTTTTGTTCTGATGCATAGAAATGTATTAGCGAAATCAAGGTTCCTCTGAGAAATAAACAGATGCCAGATTAGACCATTCTTTGTGCCGTCTGCCCATCCATCTTTGGGAAAGAGACAATTTTACTTAAAGACATGGATTTCACCTTTTAAGAAGCTATTTTCTAAGTACTGGCCCTTAATAAAGTAATTAAGCGAGACTTGAGCATTAAATAATGTCTGGGCGGAGAAGTGGTGGGGGGTTGTCATAGTGACACCCATGAGTCAGATCTGAGTAACGTGAAACTAAGTTGTCAAGGCTGGAAGATTTAGTCACTTAGTCACTAATATCCCACACCGGGATGTGCTGACAGAGGGGTTGGGGCTAATGATGCCATGGCTAGTGCAGGCTCCAGCTCGCTGTAGACACCCTGATTCAGAGTTCCCCTCTCTGGGGACCTCTGACACTCTGTGGGAAGGATGGAGAGTGGATCCCCCAGAGCTAGGTGTATTTTTGGCCCCTAGAACATCACTAACAGCTGACCTGATGGGACAGGGGCACAGAAGATCCTGACTCCCCGTCTGGCTCAGCACTGACTGAATTCGAGCGACTCCCACGACTGTGGTCCCGACCAAGCAAGAAGCAGCCGCACCTTCAGTGGGTGACCACGCCACCCTGTGGCACACGCCAAACACATGTGTGCCTGCGGCCCTGCCAACGCCGGGCTCCCGCTCCCCACCTGCCCTCCCCCGCCCCCCCCACCGCACTCTCGGTCTCTTCCTCCCCCTGCTGGGTCCTGTCCTTCACCGAATGCTCTCAGGAAGCAGCCTGGGCCCGGAAGGGGTCAAGCTCAAGTCACTGGAGTCACTTGAACCCCGTGGTTGAAGTGTAACGTGAGGGCGAAGCTGCAGTGAGGGGCCTGGCATGGGCCTGAAATTTGCTCCGTTCCGGAGTGATGGACAGGAGATGAAGACTGAGGGGAGCACTGCTGGCCCCAGAGAGTATGTGGCCACTGGCCCTCTGGGACTGCCTAAGTGATCAGTCTCCTCTGAGGGGCCCTCATATGCCTGAAGAATCATGGGCTCAGTATGGGCCAGTGAATGGGGCATATTCCCTGGATGTACAGCTTCTGGCAGAGTCCTGCCCTCCGTTACTGAAAGGTGACACTGAGCTTCTGGGCAAATGAGGGGCCTCCTGCCACAGACCCTCTGTGTGGCTTGGGAGGGGGGCTTTGGGCACACTCTGTAAATTCAGACTCCCTGAAGGCTCACAGGTTGGGGCCAGCCAGGAGGGCAGCAAATGGCAGAGGGAGTATGAGTGATACTGCAGGCACCCAGTCCAGGGCCTCTGTGGGGACTTCTCTGTGTAATTCTCTGGCCAGGCTGGGTACTAATGTGTCTCGTGCCACCTCTAGGAGGGGGCAATCGAACTCCAGGGTCTGTCTGGGCAGGAGGGAAAGCATAGCAGGAAAGCTTCCACCCCAGCACCCCAGAAGGTCCCCTGAGCCCCGCCAGGAGTGATTCCTGAATGCAGAGCCAGGAGTAAGCCCTGAGCACCACTGGCTGTGGCCCTACCTGCCCCTCACGACCCCCACCCCCACCCCAAAATAAAAGGAAGAGAGAAAAGAGGAGATGCCAGAGAGGCTTGTTAAATGAGACAATACGCCTTCT